TCCTGAGATTCCCCGTCTTTTTCTATCGGTAAGATTAAAGTCATGACAATTCCTGGTTTGTCTTGTTAAAATTCTTAAAAAGTCTTGAGATATCCTGTAAACAAGACTTTTGTAGGTAGAAAACAAATACTAGGACAAGCCTAGCTGGGTTACCTGGGACTTCATGACAACAGGAAATATATTCTGTACGGGATATTTAAAATTTGAAGCGGCACGGGATATTTAAAGTTTGAAGCAGATACATAAAGAAATAAAGAAGTTATAAAAAATATGTAAATTTAAGTTCAACCGGTGGGAACTAAGTAACATATACATTTTAAGTATATAATAAACATGATAAGTATCTTTAAAAAATAGTTTTAGAGATAAAAATTGTTATGCGTTAAAACTATAAATAGAAACAGAGCTGCAACACTGGAATTGGTTCTGCATTGATGTCTTTAAATTGGCATTGCTACTGCATTACCGGGCAGAACTTTGGTTTTGATAAATGTCATCAGTTTTTTTCTTCTTAAAAAATGAAGCTGTAAATCCCATGTTTTATTTGATTTTTTTATAAATATTCAAGTCGTACTCATAATTATAGAAAACCAAGTTAAACGGACAATTGCATAACATGAAATTTAGCTTAGAGAAATCATAATGCATAAATGAAATACTTTTTTTTTTATTTTGAAGTTTGCATGTCTAACTGTTTAAAGCAATCAGTTATCAAAAGGGTCCATCATTAAGGAATTAATTTGCGAACATTTTATGGTTACCACATTTATTGCAGTCTGATTTTAGTAGTCTAAATAACAATCATGCATATTTGTTGAGCTGATTTTGAGTTTTAATCAAATACAATGAAACACTTGGTCAATGCTAAAACCACTTGTTTTTCTGTTTTAAATAATCCTATTTCAAGTGATATTGTTAGCATCATAAAAAGTTGTTATTCACTTAAGTATAAATTGAACAGAGGTGTGTAGGTGTGAAAGGCAACAAAAGACTGTTGTGTCCAAAATAAATGATGACTGAATTGGTTTCTTTACAAAAAGATCTTACAAAAATATGATATTTTGTAAACATTGTTTGTAAAAAGTATGTGGTATCATTAAAAATGTAACATTAATTTTGAAGTGAGTAATATTTTTTGGCTGAAAAGTTTGCTTTTTTTTAATTTGTAGTTAAAATTATTAAAATATGTAAATATACATAATATTTTATTTTTGTTTGACATTGTGTATTTAAGCAGACTTTAATAACTATATAAAAGTACTGGTACTGATACTTAATTTCTTCCTATATAAGTACTGATACTACAGTACTGATCTGGTACTGCATAACTTGGCAAGTACTGGTACTGGTACTAATGTATAACACGCTTATTTCTGATGCAGCTCTGATGAGAAATCTGAAACAGTTGCCGTTCCTCTCAATATACTCCCTTTAGTTAAACTTAAAAATGATGTTTCTAATCTCCATACTTAACCAACCCTTATTTCAAGTTTATTAATATACTTTAAGTAATTTTGAGCAGTCACAAATATTAATATATTTGCCACATTTTCAGTCTATTTTTAGCCATAGCAACCACATATTTCAACTATGGAAGGGAAAACGATGGCATAATCTCACAAATGGCATCTTGTTTGTTTGTTTGTTTCATTTTACGCCTTTTTCAACAGTATTTCAGTCATATAGGCGGTAGTTTCCTAACCATCGTTCCTGGAGAGTTACACCAGTACTAGACTACCTTCCTCCGCGCTAAACTACCAAAGCATCTCCCGGTGATCGAACCCACGCCAGAGAGGTAACTGGATAAGAAGTCATCGACTCTAACCCCTCGACCACGGAGGCGAATGGCATCTACTCGTACATGTATAATAATTCAAGTTTCATAAAAATATTTTCAGTTCTTTTTGCGCTATCAACAGATTAATTTTGTATGTTATATGTGCCATATCTTAAGTCTATTTGTTGCATAGCAACCACATTTTCAATATAGGAATAAAGGAATATTCAGACTGCTGTGAGTTCATAAAAAATATTTTCAATAATTTGGCATTATCACGGAATCCAGTTTTGTATTACATGTTTATTTGCCATATTTTAACCTTTTTATTGCTATTGCAACCACATTTGTCAATAAAGGAAGAAAAGAAGAAAAAGACATTCATAATCTCCAGACAACAATCTATCCATATAATTCAAATTCCATAACAAAAATTCATTACTTTTTGCGTTATCACAGGTCAAATACTTTTTGAGCTATGCACGAACAAGTCTATAATGTATACTATGTCAAGGGCATTAACTCTAATTAAAAAAATAATTGACATCCAACACCCATCTTCAAAGTTTGATCATCAATCCTGTAAGGTTGGTTGATTCTAACTCAAGCACTCAAGGTATACATAACAGAACATTTAGGAATGATTTTAAAGTCAAGAACATTAAGTTTACAAAAACTGAATACATCCACAATCATCGATCATGAGTCTAGGCTAAATACTTTTCGGGCTACCCACAAGACAAAGTGAAAATTACAATTTTTCACTGAGTCAAGGGCCATAACAATGACAAAACATAATAAATCCACAACCAAAACCCCCAGGTGCACGGACTCACATGTTTCATGACTCTAGGTCAAATTGGTTTTTAAGATACATTCGACAAAAGTTGAAAATTGCAAATATTTACTAAGTCAATTATAAATACTTTATAATACATGCTGATCCTGATTCTTGTTCAGTGACATGACTGAACGTCAAAATTTGTTGAGCCATGTGCGACAGAAGTGGAAAATTAATCAATTTTACCAAGTCAATGGACATAACTAAGACAAAACATAACAGATTTAAAATCAAAAGCCTAAGCTCACAACTTTATATGCTAAGCAACATTCCTGTAAAGTTGTATGACCCTAGGTAAAATAACTTTTGAGTGATGTGCGATACGAATTAAAAATTGCAAATTGCAAATTTTACTAAGTCAATGGCAAAACCTCTACCAGTACTGAATGAAGAGTGCCATGATGGCCCTGAAATCTCTCATCTGAATATAGAAACTATCCATGACATAAGCAACTATATAAACAAAAATAGATATAAAATCTAAAACTGCTATCACAAAGTTTATATTTGAATCTGAACTAGTGCATGTGTAAAAAAATTACTGGTTGTTATTGCTAAGGGAAAACAACAGTTCTTAAAGATGTGTACATGTGAGGAAACTCAATGACCCACGGGGCGGGGCCAATTTTGTCCCCAGGGCTTTTATTTGAACAAACATGGTAGACAATCATTATAAGATGTTTCATGCCAGATATCTAAGCTCTATCTCTTTTGGTTTTTTAAAAGATGATTTTTTAAGTATTATCTTTCAGTTGCCATGACAACAAGAGTTCTTTATTGATTTCTACTCTTTGAACAACTTTGGAAGAGCTTCATGCAATTTAGCTAAAGGTTTCATGACTTTATGTTAAACACTTTTTGAGCTAAGTGCCATACAAAAGAGAACAAATTAGAGGACTGATAGACGAACGGGCAAGAGTAAATCTAAATGCTCCCCTATAACGGGGGTACAAAAACATTTTTCCAATAATTAAGATTATATTTGTTATGGTCACCATGACCTTTAAATAAATCAAACATTAAAATAAACAAGAAATGCCGAACGACACATATACCCCCACTCACATTATTGGTAATTTTATTTGAGATATTTGCCATAAATGGACATATGGAAGTGTTCAATAATTGAAAAAAACAACAAAACTTTGTGATAAATAACTTTTAAATAATGAGACATTTAAGCACCTGTGACCTAGACCTTTGAACTAGTGACTTAAATCGGTAGGGGTCATCTAATAGTTATGCCCAATCAATATTAAAAATATGAAGACTTTGTGATAAACAGCTTAAGATAATGTGCGGAAACCATACTAACATTCAATAACCCTGTGACCTTGACCTTTACCCTAGTGATCCAAAAATTGATAGGGATCACTTACTAGTGATGATCAATCAGTACGTGAAATATGAAGACTTTGTAATAAACAGTATTCAAGATAATTAGCGGAAACCATTCTGACATTTTAGGCCCCCGTAACAACGTTATATAAGAACCAGTGCAATCTTTTGATTTTTCGTGTTAACACAACATACATATAAGGAAAATCAATGACCCCCTTAGGCGAGACCAATTTTGACCCTAGGGCTATAATCTGAACAATTTTCGAAGAGTATTATTAGTGATGCTACACACAAAATAGCTTAAGGCCTTGCACTTTCACAGAAGAATTTTAATTAAGAAGTTAAATTATATGTCCATAATGAAAATTAGTGACCACTGGGCGGGGCCAATTTTGACCCAAGGACTATAATTCGAACAATCTTTGTAGAGATCAACTACACAATGTTTCATGCCAAATATATAACCTCTAACCTATGTCAATTCAGAGGACATGATTTTTAAAGTTAATTACTATATAAATATAAGGATAATCAATGACCCCCTGAGGTGAGGCCAATTATGCTACACACAAAATATCTTAACTCTAGGCCTTTCACTTTCAGAGGAGAAGACTTTTAAAGTTTTACTTTATGTACATAATGAAAATCAATGACCCCCGGGGAGGACCCATTTTGACTTCAGGGCTATAATTTGAAATATTTTGTAGAGTTTAGTTAGATGGTGCTACACAAAAATACCTAAGCTATAGGACTTGAAGTCGTAAGTATTAAATGTAAACGGGTGACGGACACAAAAGCAATAGGCCATCTTATTAGATCACAATGTAAGCTACAAACAGGCCGATTTCTTAAGCCGCTAATAGGGGGCATCTTAACGTCATAAACGCTCTTTCTTTACAAAATAACATTGCTGAAGTAAAGCTATCATATGTACATTATTTCATACCAAAAACCATTAAGATCTAAGATGTCATATTTCGGTAGGAAAATAGCAAGCTACCAAACAACATCCCTGTTTTATCACCAATTACAAGATCTTACCTTCAACTCCTCAATGACATTATCTGTGAAACCTTGAACCTTCCAATTATTCGGTCTTAGCAGTTCTGTTGCGATATCATTCAGTTTTCCATGTGCATTTTCTAGATGATCATATTCCCATATATCTTTCTGTAAAATATTAATACAGATTTATATCTCAATATATTAAAATTTTGTTATTTTTATTGGTCAGGGCTTTACAAAGTTATTGTCATACACCGTAAAGTCTTATTTTGACTGTTAATGTGAGTTGCAAAACAAGGGCAACATTGTCACAAAATACGGCCGTCACAAAAGCTTTTGACAAAAATGATGGCAATATATGAAGATATGCATTCGGGAGATATGCTATTGGCAATATCCGGAAAATATATTGATATTAAGCAAGCTTGATATTTTTGGGGATGCAATTTACTAACTTTGTCAGATCTTGTGTCATGGTAATAACTCTGTTGCAAATAATTATCCGGACAATATCTTGATATTTTATCAACTCAAGCGCATACATGTTTTTATGCTAATTTCTGGACACTTTTCATTTTGAGATTGCGGGGCGGGGAATTAATCAACATCCATATTGATTCTAAAATTACATAGTGACATACAATCTATATTACCAGTATTTACAACTTGCATATTTAATGACAACATAAACAAAACAAAATGCCAATAATTATTAACAGTTTTTCTATCTTATTTAAAAGTATTACAGCTTCGTAAATTCAATCAGTTACAGAATAGAATAAATTTGTGTTAAAAGAGAACAATAAGCCATGTCGTTTGGTAAAAGAACCTGAAACATTCGCCGAAATCCAGAAGACTTCATTTACTCACATTTAGCGATAATTTTACGGTGTTTGAGCACAAATAATTGCCTGCAGGTAGATTCAATTTATGCCGGCCAGTTTACAGTTAATGACACCTTCACTCAGGAAGCCACAGGGGATAAACAATTTATCTGTTAATTGATCAAAGTTTTTGCCGATAACTGTTAGTTGCAAGAGGCACAAATATTTACCAATCTAACATTAGTGTTACCATTTACTGTATATTGCAATGTTGTATGGAGATAATTGTTTTGTTATTAGCGTTGTAGTATAGCAAATAATAATTTAAAAAAATGGGTCATAGACAAAAAATGCCGGGTTGTATTTGTGTACCAAATATCATGAGGCTGTGATGTTAAGAAAAATATACCACTGAGCATAAATGTCGAAAATGTAACTCAATCGGTAAACAGGAAGTGGATAAGCAACAAATCTGAAATAGAATCCAAAGATATTCGACCACGTGTTAATTCTGTTTACCAAATATCAAGAGTCTAGATGATAAGAAGTTGCTGAAATATCTGTTACGAAAATTTCCTACGATGGACCATTAATGTCAAAAATTTAACTTAGCCTGTTAACAGTAAGTGGATGAGTGACATACCTGAAATCACATATCACGGTATGGGACTGCGTTTCAATCCTGTAAGATAATTATTATGAGGTTGTGATAAGTTGTTGCTAAGAAAAATTACGATAATTTCCTACCATTGACCACTAACATCGACAATTTAACTTAGTCAGAAAACAGGAACTGGACAGTGACCTTGACCTTGCAGATATTTACCTGAATTACATGTGTCACACTTGTATTCATTATAGTCATCATTTGTTTTACAATCCATCAATAAAAGATGACTTAATGCTCCCTGTACATATACTCATTTTTTTATTTTATTTTTGACTTCTCTATGTGATATTGACTTTGGTAGCATTGTCCTGGATTATGTGCACAATGGTGAACAGTGGTGCCAAGTTACATTAAATTTCCCCGATAAATGTAGAAGTTTTGCTCCAATTTTGAAATTACCTTGACCTGGACACCTGGTTCATGCGCGCGACACAGCTTCTTATAGTGGTAAACATTTATATGGAGTTTCATTAAAATCCCCCCATGCGTGTTTAAGTTATGCTCTGGAAAAAGATGGACACCGCCTGCACGCCCGCTAACCAAGGGGGGGGGAGGCTTTACTATACAATGACCCGTTTTTGAAACGGGCGTATAATAATGAAAATAATACACATGTGGTCACTGTGAATTTCAAGTAACGGTGGAATGTGCAAATACAAAGTCAATTGTGTCAAAGTAACTCAGAAACAAGTATTATAAAATATAAAAGAATTTTTTTTTTCATCTTACCAAATCTAAAGAAATGTTTTAGAGCATATGGCTGCTGATACATTAAATTTTAAACCTTATCAAAATATGTTCATGAACGTGTTTATTTTTCAGATCAATAGTGAGTAATATGTGTTTTGTCGATATAATTATTTAAATACGTAAACGTTTACGAAATGTATATTACGACTTTTTATATTGTAAGCACTTGAGATATCTACCAAATAATTATTGTGACATTACACTTAAACTAGAAGATAAAATGTGACTGAGACCATTTTCACATGATACACTGAAGCAACATTGCTTACCTCAATATAAAAATAGCTTAATCTTATTGTACACCTTTCTATATTTATACAACACTAGTAGTTTGGCAAATTTCTAAGAAATACCGAATATGAAGACAAGAGAGATCAATGATTGCCTGATTATAGCAACTTGCAGCTACTGTGTGCTACAGGAGACACAAAAATCAATAACAGGCCAAAAAGCGTTTATTATTTAACGGCCATAACTCGGCCAAAAACATTTATCCGAAAAACCCGTTTAGTACGCACAAGTACTTAGAGTACCGATTTATGATGTAAAGTTAGATTTAAGTTGCATTATTAGTTTAAGATATGAAGTCAATACAGAACTTCCAACAAGAGCCACCGACAGGCGGGGGCAATGCTCAACTTTTTGTACTTTTTCCAGATGCAAAAAAAGTTTAAACAAATATTTAAAAAGAAAATTAAAGGAAACAAGAAGGGCCAAGATGGCCCTAGATCGCTTACCTGACCCATTTCATTGTAGGTCAAGCAACATTGAAAATATCAAAAGTAGGTCAGCTGATATCAAAATTAAACTCAACATAAAAAATTACACACCTGGTCTTAATTTCAAATTATATGTCAAAAAGCAAGAAAGTAGGTCAATTGATATCAATAATATCAAATGTAGGTCAGCTGATATCAAAAATATATTTGGCATAAATAATTACACCTATGGTCCAAATTTCAAGTCTGTAGGTAAAACAAGTAAGTCAAATTATATCAAATATATCAATTGAAGGTCAACCGAAATCAATATACGATTCTGCATCAAAAATGACACTCTTCGTCCAAATGTCAAATCTGCAAATCTTAAAAAAGCAAGAAACTAGATCAAACGATAAATCAATATCGACTGCTGATATCAAAATTCAATTCGGCATCAGAATTCAATTCTCGACCAAATTTCTACTAAGTTTGATGTCAATTGAGTCAAAAATGTGATGACTAGAGTGTTAACAAGGTTTTTCCCATATCAAGGCGGTGTGACAAAAGTTTTAACCCCAGGTGACCCATATTCGAACTTGACCTAGAAATCATCAAAACAATCATTCTGTTACCTAGTTTTTCAACCCAAATAGAGTACAGAGTCAACTAGAAAATTGTCAAAAGTGTTGAATACCACGTCACGGGCTTGTCAGAAAACATGCTTTTTAATTTATAATTTTGCACAAAGGGAGATGGCAGTAGTTAATAAAATAAAATCAAATGTTTTTAAATTATTTGTCCCACATCAATGAGATAAATAAAAATACTCAGTGATATTTATCTTAAAACCTACAAAGTTTAAAGTTGATACCTTTAACAATTATCAAATAAAGTATGTTCCGGACAAAGTTCAAAGTGTAAAAATAAATCAAGTGCAATAACTCTAAAAGGATGGTAAGAGTTCTAATGCACTGTACTTTGTCTCAGTGACATCTATCTACCTACAAAGTTTCAAGTTGATACCTTTTATATTTCTCAAATTATATCCAGGACAAAATTCAAAGTGTAAAAATGAACTTCAGATAATTACTCAAAAATTCAGGAAGGGTTGGGGTACGGTTCTTCTGCACTGCACTTCTACTCATTCAGATGTATCTACCGACAAAGTTTCAAGTTGATAACCTTTATAGTTCCCAAGTTTTTTCCCGGACAAAGTTGAAAAGTGAAGAAAAGTGAAGAAATGAACAAATCGCAATAACTCCAATATTAGGAAGCCAGTCATGGTTCCTTTTGCACTGCACTTCTACCGAATGAGAATCTACCTATAATGTTTCTTGTTGATATATCTTGTAGTTTAAGTGTTTTGACCGGACAAAGTTCAACGTGTAAAAATGAACAAAGAGCAGTAACTAAAAAATCAGGCATAGCAAAGTTACGGTTCTTTTGTTATCCACTTCCACTCAATGAGATCTATATACCTTTTTATATTTTTAATTGCTCTCAATTTATGCTCATACAATGTTCAATGTGTGAAAATAAACAAAGGTCAATTATTCCAAAATATAAAATTGCGGAATTACAGTTTTTTAGCACTGTACTTCTTCAAAAATGAGATCTATTTACCCGAGACCTACAAAATTTCTTGTAAATATTTCTTGTTGTTTAAAAATTATATTCAGGACAAAGTTCAAAGAGTAAAAAAAAACACAAAGGGCAAAAACTCCAAAATTAGGCAAGGCAGAGTTATAGTTCTTTTGCACTGCACTTCTACTCAATGATTTATATCTACCTACAAAATTGATTGTTAATACGTCTTGTCGTTAAATAGTTATGTCACAAAAAAGGTTTAAAGTGTAAAAAGCAAAGAGCAATACCTCCAAAATAAGGTAAGGCAGAGTTATGACTATTTTCATTGCACTTCTACTCAATGAGATCTATGTTCCTACAAAATTTGAAGTTGATATCTAGTGTGCATTTTGAGTTTTGTCCCGGACGAGAAATCTGAAACAGACCGACCGATCGACAGACCAACAGCCAGCTGACTCCATTATACCTTGTAAAACTTCGTTTGTCAAGGGTACAAAACAAGGTTTGTCTACTTCTAGCTCCTGTGATCTAGTTTTTCATCCATGTTGACCCATTTGAGCAATTTTCTAGACAAGCATACTGACCAAGTTTGAAAACAATTGAGTCAAAAATGTGACAACTAGAGTGTTAATAAAGTTTTGCCATATTTGGGCGTTGTCACCTAGTAACAGAAAAAAAGAGAATTTTGTTAATAAGACTTTGGCAATCAAGATCAAATTTTTGTTAAAGTTCACATTTAAACAATTTAATATGTTTGTTTGGAAGCAAGTCTTTCTTGTCCAAGTAAAAATCAAATCCGTACATAAATAACAAAATTATGACAATTTAACAAATAAGTCAATGTCATTAAAAGCTCAATGTCAATTCAACCTTTAAAACGGTCTTGTCCAAATTGTTGTTTTGTCAAAGTATGAAAATAACATTTATCAATTACCAAGTTACAGTCAATTATAGCAAAAGTTGGTGAAAATTCATATAACCCTATGTCAATAAGTGTTTGATATACATTGAGATCTTAGATCTTGGTCCTGGTCTGTCTGGTTAACTTAAAGGTTTTTCCTACAAAATTATTATGGTCGAGTTTGAAGACAATCCATTTAAAATGAACAAAATAATATTCACTCATACGATAAACAAGTAAAATTTAGACATTTTACCTAGAAGGTCAAGCTCACTTATGGATGAATGTAAGTGATAGTCAGGTCTACTAGCTATAAGGGTTGTTGTGACCAAGTATGAAGACAGTACACAAAGAACTTAAAAAGTTATGACCAAGGAACACGTTTGACTCAGTATTGGAAGAAAAGGCTCCAAACAAACCAGAATAAATTGGTTCGTTTTGTTTTGAATAAGGACAGCAGGTCACATGTTGGGCCAGAGCAATTTAAGGTTCTTAACTGGTTACCGGTCTCCAAAAGAGTTGACCAGATAATTCTTTGCCATGTCCATAAAATAAAGTCTGACACAGCCCCAAAATACCTTAAGGAGCATTTTGTACCCCTTAATCAGGTCCATGACCGCTGTACCAGGTCCAAATTGTCTGCACTTTCAACATCAGATTCCTGTGTAAGCTATTCTTTTAGTGACACAGGGCGATTTTCTTTACCAAAAATTGCAAGATTTGGTAGAAAATCTTTTGCTTTTAATGGTATTTCACTATGGAACGGCCTTCCTCAAAAGCTTAGAGATATTCAATCTTCCCACACCTTCAAGCATGCCATCAAAGCCCATTTAATGGCCAGTTAATTTTAGTTTATTTTTCAATAGTATTTGAATCTTTTGATAGTCTTAATAGAGTCCCAGATTTTACTTATTCTTAAGTTTAAGCACAACACACATATGTTGTGTCCTTTAGTAATTTACCCATTTTTAGCTTGCACATTTAACGTTTTATAATATTTCTATTAAATTTTTACAGTTTGACTGACAATTTCTGTGATGCACTATTTCATGATTTGTTGATGTGATACAAACTTGAACTGTGATTTAAATGTGATACAAACTTGGACTGTGATATATTGTGATCTCAACTAAATCATTGCAATTTATGTCTTATTAGTAAAAGAATTAATTTCAATTTCATACAAATTAACATTACTTTCTGTGTCATGCCTCCAATATCAGGGACCACAATGGAAATAAGAGGAATCATTTCCTCTTTTTTGTGTTATCCCTGGTATTGGTGGGCACTACATGGCTCATATATTTATATTTTGTCGTATACTTATGTCATGTGATATTTCTAGTCTCTTTAATAATTTGATTATTGTTATATGTATTGTATCATTATGCATCATTATGTAATTGCCATGTCATGTACACCTTTACCGAATAAAATTATTATTATTATTAAAAATAAACACACATTCTCTGTTTTTGAATTTTTTATGAAAAAGAATAAATATATCTTTAAAATTTCACAATAAAACTCATTTTATTTAAAGATATAAGTAAGTTTCCTATCAACATATAACAAATTCTTAATTTTTAAGTTCTTTACGATCATATAAAAAATGAAATTTACGAAGATTGATCAAAAAGTTCTCGGCCCGATATACTTCTAGCCACTACACTGACATTTACACACGATATGTCAATACCGATATCTTTTTTAAATTACTGACCGAGGAACACATGGTTTAACACAGATTAAGTTACATATAACACACTTTGATCAGTAGAGGATTGTGTCATTTAGACAAAATGGAGGAAGTTGAAATCAGAGCCGTCATGAAGTACCTCTGTAAGAAAGGGATGTCCCCCAAGGAAATCCATGTAGACTTCATTGATACACTGGTTGGGTTCTCTGACTACCGGATGTCCATCGGGCCGAGAACTTTTTTATCAATCCTCGTACAATAGACATTTTTACAAGATATGACATGTTTCTTACATATGTATTATCTTTGACAACCTTAGATGTCATGTTCTTCAAGTGTGTTGGTGTCTGGCCTTCTGGTCCAAATGTGGTAATCATTTCTCTCACAACTATTTGTTGAAAAGTAAAAAAGACATATTGTTGTAATATTCTACCCTTCTTTTACCAAAAGTAACGTTGCAAAAGGGTTTTTGTAGCAATTTTAGACATTTCCAACAAAAAAACTAAGTTGGTCATGTGAGAAAAAATAAAATCATACCTCAACTTATCCACCTTTTTGGTTGATGGACCTTTCCGGTTTTTCGTAGCGGAACATTTAGCCACACCTTTTCCATTCATTGCTAGGTCAACTGCTCACAAACAGTATCACAAACATAAGCACGTGTTCTTTTGTGCAAACCAGGTCAACCAGTGACTATGTATTATCTCAGTGTAGCGATTGGATAACAAGTAAGCCAATTTACATAAAACTGTAAACACCGGAAAGGTACATTTGTATGTAACACTAACACAGTGTAGGTCATATGATGACTTTCAAGCTTTACTGGTGGCGGAAGACCTTCATGCCCTTCCATGCATTATTTTGTAATAATAACTATAGATTTCTCAAATAAAAGGATCCAACGCCCTTGTCGAGATTCCAGCCAACTGCGGTGAGGTGCAAGTGGTTATAAATAAACACTGACCCGACCTTTACCAATGGGCCACAAACACGCCAATAATGAATTTTCATATTTTCATGTTGGTAAATGATTGACTCATATTACTAGAAAAATATGTAGGATAAAAGTAGATATATAGTTGCATTAAATCATGCTTAGTTGTTTCAAAAATGTGTTTAATAAAAAAATAACAATGAACAATGGACAATATGCAATCACTAAAGCTTACTATGTGCCACTTAATGAAGTCTCGTATACTTACTGACACCAAAACTATAATAATCCCAGCTCTCGTTTGCACTTTCTTTTCCTACATTAGGATGTGAGTAAAACAATCTTCCACCAGCTATAGTTGACATATCATTCTCTTCTCTTGCCATACCAAAGTCAATAAGGCGGGCATTAAACATATCATCCAACACAATATTTTTAGAGGCTATATCTTTGTGAAAAATTACAGCTCTGAAACACAACACAGACATGTTTCAAGAGCGGGCAGTTATTACATAACATTATACTTAAATTTCTTACAGAAGAAAACTTTTCTTGAAACACAATACTACTTGCATCAATAGGATCACTATATCTTGTACCAAATATTCCATGTTTACAAAATTTCTGTGTATTATTACCTCCCTTAGATATTATCTTTTAAAATCAACAGAACACAAGACTGACTTTCTTCTAGGATAAATATCATGTTTTCATAATTACAGTGTATAACAACAATCTTCTTGAAACATTATCTTAATAAAAACAACAGGCCACAAGAATGATTTTTTATCACATAACATACTATAGAAATCTGGAAACATGGTGATCCCTTAGAAGCATTAATCACTACAATAGGAATGTATTTTCCCTTTAAAACCTGCTGACAAGAACAAAAAGCCTTATTGAAATACAAGTAACTTCAGCACTTAGCCAAAAGCAAGGTCAATTCTCTGGCATTAAGCTCACTGGCTTTAAACTTTTATTGTTGAAGAACGAATTAATTAAAGGACAGATTTGTTACCGGACACCAGGCACTGCAGTGTGGATGTACTTGATAGCTACTGCAACTTGGAGAAGAATCTTAACTCTTTTCTGTGCATTCAGTTTCAGAATTTGCTTTGTCCTGTCATGTTGGAGGACTGTCCTGTCGTGTTTGAGAACTTCATAAAGATCACCGTTTTCACAAAGAGGCGAGACAAACCAAAACTCTCTTTTCCTGAAATATTAAAGTTCCATAAAATGTTTCTTAAGTACTGAAGTGTATATTTACCATAAAATTAATGATGTAAGCATTTAAACTAGAAATGAGTCCATAGGCCAAAATGTCCCCATTTTCCATATTTGGGTTGTGTGACCTAGTATTTGACCCCAGGTGACCCATACTCAAACTTGACCTAGAAACCACAAAAAAACAACCTTTCTGACCAATTTCCAGGCTATTTGCATGAAGAACAGTGGCCACTATAGTGTTTACAAGATTTCTTCTATTTGAGCTCCTGTGACCTTCTTTTTTAACTAGGATACCCATTTTCAAACTCAAACGAACAATTAGTTAGATTAACATCCTGACCAAGTTTGATAACAATTGAAGCGAAAATGTGACCACTAGTGTTAACAAACTAAATGTGGACGGATGATAGACGACGGACATTTAACGATAATATTGATAATAACAAGGATCGTCAGTCAGAGATGACTTGTGTCGCCTCATGATAGCCAATTGCTTGTTGTAGCTACTGAGTAGCGGGAGACACAAAAATTATTAACAGTGCAAATAACATTTTTTTGTAAAGGGCCATACTTGGCTTAAATACTTCAACCGAAAAACCTGTGTAATATGCGCAAGTAACTCAGCAACTGATCAATCCTAAATAGTTTCACTGAAATTGCATTAGTTGTTCACATTGAGAAGTCCGGACAAAATCATCAAAGGGACATAATTCTTACAAAAATAATTAAATCAAAAAAATGTTGAGATGCACAACAAGACATAGTATTGATCATTTCTGTAAAATTTTGATGAAATTGCACAATTAGTTTCTGTACAGTAGTCCAAACAAGAAGCTGGTAACACAAAACAATAGCATTAACTCACCCGAAAAATCATTCAAGCGAAAAAACTTGTGTATTATGCACACGTACTTGACCTACCAATCAATCCTGTACAGATTAATTGCAATTGCAGGAGTGGTCCGGACAAACATAATTAACACCCTTTTCATTCAAGAACTATAACTGGACCAACATCCATTCAAGCAGAAAACCCGTGTAATATACGCAAGTATTTGACCTACAAATCAATCCTGTAAGGTTTCTTTGAAACTTTAAAAAATAAGAAAAAAATTAAAGGGCAATAACTCCGACAAAATTTAACAAACCATAAAAAGCTGATGATTTGCACAACAAGACTTGGTACTGATCATGTCTGTTATGTTTTGATGAAATTGCACCAATAAATTTTAAAAAGTAGTCCAGACAAGCCTTCGTGTCAATACACAAAAACACCTTTTTTAATTACAGGACCATAACTCAGCCAAAAATCATTCAACCGGTAAATCTGTGCAAAGTGCGCACGGACTTGAGCTACAGATCAATCCTGTACAATTTCATTGAAATTACATTAGTGGTGTTAAAGGAGTCGTCTGGACAAACTTTCAAAAATAAAAATTATTAAAGGGCTATAACTCTGATAAAAAAATCATTAAAAAGGCTGACGATATGCACAACTAGACTTGATACTGATCGTTCCTTTAATGTTTGGGTGAAATTGTACCAGTAGTTTATGAGAAGTAGTCCGGACAAATTTTATGACGGAGGACAGACGGAAGGACATACAGACGACGGAGAAGTTATTTTTATTTATAGCCCTTACTCCGTAAATGCGACACAATAAATCAGTTGGCGGAAATTCAAAATATTTTGAAAGGTTGGAGTTACAAAGTTATTACATAACGTACTTGTAGCCTTCTTGTTTTATCCAAGCTGACTAACGTTCAGATCTACTTATTTCTTTCATGTTCATTCATACTCACCACAGTTTATGTTTCACCTTCTTAATAATTTGGATTTCCAGAAAAAGCTATTTTTAGCTATGCAATCAAAACGGTTTTTGCATTAGAAGAAGTATCAAAATACGCTTATCCGTGGAAGTTAAACACATTGTGGATTTTTGTTAGAAAATAAGTAATTCTGAACAAATTAACTTGAAGAATAGAGTAAATTTTTAATGGGCAAGATCGTTTTGACAGTTTATCTGTCGGCTAAATCGACAAATTCATGTTTGTTCTTGTTATCAAGAACATTTGAATGACATGAATGAACTTAAATCTTTCGAGTTCTTTATTTGTCTGTTTTATAATAATGTGTTAAGGTTTCCCTGCCTAGTAAGGAAATAATGTTTATAACAGTAAATAAAAAGCTCCAATTTTCTCAGGATAAATTACGGAAGAGCATTAGTGCTAGGTGTATGTTTTTTATTAACCCGAAATTTCGATTAACTAACTCGAAATTTCGACTTACTAACACGAAATTTCGAGTTACTTATCTCGAAATTTCGACTTTGTAACTCAAATCTTCGACTTCATTACTCGAAATTTCGACTTACTAACTCGAAATTTCGACTTATTAACTCGATTTTTTACTTATATTGCACAACTTTCATTGGTTACCGGTGATAGCAAGGAATGAAATCAAGATATTTTCTTTCGTGTGTAGCTGTTGCACATTGACAGAGCACCTATGTATTCAGCAGAACAATTTAATAGGGTCGAATTGTCCACGCATACTGTCCTTCGCTTTTATGTGGAGGGGGTGGGGTTGTAAAATCACACTTTCCACATTTCCGTATTAACCGGATGTTCCTTTTTCTAAAGCACACATATACCATCATTTGGAGATACAACAAGTCAAAAACCACCCTATTGTAAACTGTTTAACATTCATGTGTTAAAAAAGTTTTAAATGACGTGTATACGCCAGTTAGTCTGTCACGTTTCTTTATACTAATAATGTTTTGTAACATTATTCATTATTTACTAAGACTTTGATTCATATTGTGTTGATAAAAGTTGCACCCCCCCCCTCCACAAAAAAGAGAAGGATATGTTCAGTATGTGTGGACAATTTGACCCTATTAGATTGTTCTGTTAAATATATGTTAAAGGTGTTCTGTCAATGTGCGACAGCTACACACGAAAGAAAGTATATTGAATTCAATCCTTGCTTCACCGGCAACCAATGAAAGTCGCACAATGTAAGTCGAAATTTCGGTTACTAAGTCGAAATTTCGAGATAAGTAACTCAAAATTTCGAGTTACTATGTCGAAATTTCGAGCTAATAAGTCGAAATTTCGGGTTAGTAAGTCGAAATTTTGAGTTACTAAGTCAAAATTTTGAGATAAGTTACTCAAAATTGCGAGTTAGTAACTCGAAATTTCGAGTTAGTAACTCGAAATTTCGAGTTTATAAAAAAACATACACCTGGCACTAATTCTCCTCCGTAATGAATACATGTATGTATAACTTATGTTTCAACTTTTCTCCATTTTAAGTAAATATGTTGGAAAAGTTCCAAGGACTTTAAAAGTGATCTCCAGGCACAGGTTTAGGAACGGACACATGACCGACCGAAAGACTCTCTGAGGGTATACTGGTTGTTAACAGAATATAATATTGTAAAAAGCAAATATCTTTAACTAAAGAGATTATTAATAAAGGTGCTACACTTATGAACAATTTTATACATGATGTGTGTGTAACAAAACAATAATCTTAAAATAAAAAGAGAAACAATTCATAGTCACAAAAAAAAAGAAAAAATGAGAAGAAAAATTCAAATAATGACCATTTATAGTAACAAAAACAAAATTAAACAAAAACAATCAAAATGAATTTAAAGTTCAAAGTGAAAATTATCATGGAAACCCATGACTCATAAATCTAATCACACATGATGTAGGTGTTGATAATAAATAAATGTATATTCTAAATTCAAAGAAAGTCATTGAAGAAATAAGGAAGGTAAAGAATTCAATGTAAAGAAGATAATTCAGGAAATATGGACGTTGTATTTAAAACCCTCCTGGTCATTTTATTATGATGTGGGAAGTAAATGCTAAAAGAAATAACAAAGTTTAAAAATCTGAGTTCAAGGGTGACATTATTATGGAAATAGTCAAGCTAGGGTATTGAACCTTCTCATCAATAATTTAATAAGATAATAAGAAACATATATATATATGAATCTTGAAGAAGATACAAAAAGAAATAAAGAAGTTATAAACAAATCCATGTAAGTTCAAGGGGATAATTCTGGATCGGAAATCTTGACGAAGTCGCCGAAACTTGGTAAATAGGACAGTTTTCAATATAATCCCTATAGTCAAGATTAAAATGATGTGTAAAATCTTGATACTGCCATTTTTCTTATTTTAAGTTTCATGAAAATGTTTTCAATATTTTTTAAGTAATCTCAAATATTGTTATATTAACCATTTTTAAGATTATTTATAGCGCTGGCAACCACAGTTTTCAACAAAGGAAGAAAAGAAAAAAAAAACATGCATTATCTTCAGACTCCCATCCATCTATATAATTATCACGCTTTATAAAAAAAATCAGTATTGTTTATCAGGGAATGCAGTTTTGTGGACTGACGGATTGACGGACGGACAGACAGACAGGGGAAGGAGTGTTAACCTAAATTTCCCTCCGATTAAACCAGAAGGGGACTAAAAACTCTACAAATATTGAATAAATCCACAAGCAAACCCTGTGTCCATAACTACACACGCTTATCAACATTCTTATATATTTTCAGGACTACAGGTCAAATACTTTTTGAGCTATGCATGAACAAATCTATAAATTATACTAAGTCAAGGGCTATAACTCTAACAAACTTAAAAGAAATTACATGCCTAACTCCAGGTTAACATCTTCACTATGATGTTGATTATCATTCCTGAGAAGTTGGTTGATTCAACCTCAAGCATTCAAGGTACACATAATACAACATTTTGTTTTTTACAAGGCCAATGGCAATAACTCTACAAATACTGAATAAATCCAAAATCAACTTCCATGTGCACAACTATTTATGCCAATCAATATTTCTGTAGAGTTTGAGGACTCTAGGTAAAATACTTTGTGAAAAATACACGACTAAAGTTGAAAATTGCAAATTTTCACTAAGTAAAGGACAATAACTAGAAATAGTAGAAATACTGAATACATCCACAATCGAAAACCCTGTTTCACAACTAAACATGCTCATCAACATTTCTATAAAGTGTCATGATTCTATTTCAAATACATTTTAGCTATGTGCAACACAAATTGAAAATTGGGAAATTTTACTAAGTGAAGGAAAATAGCATTTTTTGAGCTACGAGCGACAAAAAGAAGAATATTCCAAATGTTTACTTAGTAAATGGCAATAATACTGAATTAATCCAAATCAATCTCCCAGGTACACAACTACACATGCTGAGCAACATTCCTTTTAAGTTTCCTGACTCTAGGTCAATACTTTTTGAGCTATGCACGACTTAATTTGAAAATTGCAATTTTTTTACTCAGTCAGGGGCAATAACTGTGTAAAAACAGAATACATTCACAAGAAAAACATCAGGTGCATACTTCACATCCTGAGCAACATTCCTTTGAGGTTTCATGACCCTAGGTCAAATTTTGTTTGAGTTACATGCAACACAAGTTGAAAATTGCACTTTGTACTAATTCAAGGGCAATAACTATACAAATACATTTGAATTGAATGAATCCACACACAAACACCCAGATGCACAACTACACATCCTGATCAACTTACCTGTAATGTTTATACAAGCATTCATACAAGCTTGCTATACACCAAATTTGATTACAATATTTCATTCCTAATGTTATTGTCCAGAATGTTTCTTTTTATAGCATGCGAGTGACTTTGACCACAATGGGCCCAAAAGCAATCCAAGCAAGGGTCTTCATATAAGCTTACTATATACCAAATTACAATATCTCAAACCTGTCTCTTGTTCATGTGCTGGAATCATTTTTCTATTTTTAATTACAGTGACATTTACCCCAGGGGGTCCAAAAGCAATCTCATTGGTGTCTTCATATAAGCTTACTATACACCAAGTTTAATTACAATATCTCATTTCTAGCTCTAATTATTTTCTGGCAACCGTTTTCTTTTTTAATACATGTGTTTTTTTCATGTTATTATACTCATTACAAAAACGAACAGTTATGTGTTTGCAAATAAGATGACCATGATGGCTCTGAAATCGCTTAACTGAATATAGCAAGAGCCATCACCGGGCGGAGGCAACGCTCGATTATTGTTTTTTTCCAAAAGCAGAAAAATGAACAGTTTAAACAAATCTGAAGGAAAAAGGTTATGTTTTCCTTTTCATAATTTGTATATGTCTGTTTTGTCACACTTGATAATATATTTTTTTTCTGTAATATATATGAATACAAGTATATAGTCAATTATCGCTTTTCACGACATTTCGTTTTCTTGATGAAATTTTGAAAGTACAGAATTTCTTCTCTCTTTTTCTATATTTGCCATCGTTGTTTATTTTCATATTTTAATTTCGATATTTTCAGTATCACAAAGTAAATTTTAGCCCCAACAGATATTTTCACAATCTTATCCTTTGTTTATCTCGGCTAATTTTTTTGTCTGTCCCCTGCAGAGGTGTGAAAAACACAAATAAGACTGTAGTCATAAAAATAATTATGTTTGTAACAAGTCAAGCTGATTTAATAAAAAATTACCTAATCGTATTAGTGTGTTGATCGACTTATGTCCGAAATAAGTGGATTTTTCTTTATTTATAAAATATTTGAACACTGTAAAATTCATTATGACTTTAATGTTAATGATAAAAAAACATTATGGTTACTATATATCGTATTCAAAATAAATCAAACATCGGTCAATCTCCAGAATGACCCGACAGGATATCACTTTATTGGTGTATTACTGAGTAAACCAATTATCACAAACTGCTTTGTTTCCACTAGTAAAAATCCGCGTCTGAAACTTTGTTAAATACTGACATTGCGATATTTTAGGTTCGAGGAAAAACATATCATACTTAGTTTAATTGACTTCAGGTATGCTCATGTCTCCTTAAATCTTTCGTCTCATAAAGACGTGTTTGACGGCTTTTTGCCCCCACCCAATTTTTGAGGCATCAAACAGTGAAAAATGCCCTATTTAGACCCAAACACTGTTTTTCGTTTGAGAAATGTTGTTAAAAAAGTGATTATTTTTCAGTGCCGCCCCCAACAAAATGGTTCATCAAGGGCTTGCCAGAAAGGGGATGTGCCCCCCTCTGTTTTGGGGTTTGAAGGGGGCGGTAAACCCCTCATCGCCAAGAAAATTTTGGACATGTGACAGGCTAAAATTGACCCCAGGTGATCTTAGGGTAACTAGTAACCGGCGCTGAAAAAAGCCTTCTCTCTTTCTCAATTCACTAAGAAGTTGCAGCACTTTGAAATCAGTTTTGATGGAAAAAACAATGCAAAATAATTATTTTTCGCAATCTTGAGACGTGCCCCCGTTGCCATGAAAACAGTAAATGTACAATACATACTGGTACAGAGGTTATGGTCCAGTCAATATTTGTGCATATGAATAAACTTGGTAGACTATCAATAGAAAAAGTTTTATGAATTCTGCATAGAATTTAATCTTTTTTACAATTTTCAAAGGTGACCACCAAATAAACATTACTGTGAAGTTTGGATTAAATTGGCTAAGAGGTTTAGAAGGATATGTCGTTTGAAGTAAAAGTTTACGGACGGACGCAAGACGAAAAACGATCAAAAAAGGTGATCAAATACAAAATAACAATTTTTAATTTGGAACATGCCAATAATCAACCAATAAGCCAATAATCATTCAATTAAGCATTTGTCACTGTTCAGAACTGTTCACTATAATGTGTAAGCAGCCGGATAGCTAACTCGGTAGAGTCGCTGTTCGGTATTCCGAGGGTCCCGGGTTCGAGTCCCGGTCAGGCTGCCATTTTTCTCACCCTGTGACTTTTTGCGCCCAACATGGGACCATGACTGTATATGAGTCAGAGTTGAAATAACTGTGCTCGATAACTCTGTGAAATTCAAGGAAGAATGTCAATATAGCAGGGGAGTAATACTCAAAGTTAAGAACTGTTCACTATCTAAGAAGGTGAAGTGTGTGAGCGGCCAACTGGCTCCGCTTGTTAGCTCAGACGCTTGAACTGCGGTTAAATATTCAGAGGGTCCCGGGTTCGAGTCCTGGTCAAGCTGCAAAAGTTTTTTTCACCCTGTGACACATATATAGACGTTATCAAAATGTATATCAATCTTACCCATGTGGTAATGGTTGCTGAACAGCAGCTAGCAATGGAAGAATAAATTGGTGCAAAATTCTGGATGTTATCATTTCCTGAAAAAAATATGATATGATACCATGATTTTAATTTAATGTTTCAATGAGGTAAAAACAATTTGATATATCTGTTAAGCAAGAGTGCTGTAGATTCTACATTAGTAAAGATGTATGCCAATCATATCCCAATTCCACATCGGTACAGACTTATGCAGAATTCAACTATAACCAAGTTAAAAAAAGATGACAAAACAAATTTGACAATGTTTCAATTTTTTAAAAAGTGTATAAAAACTAAAGATAAAAAATTATTAGGTTTACTGTCCTTTGGAAATGAATGTCTTTCAATTCTAAAATTGAACCAGAATTTTAAGTTTTGAATAGAGACCCGAAATTAGCAAAAAAATTGAAACTAGAAATGTGTCCAAAGGGAACGGGTGTCCCCACACTCATCTGTTTTGTCAATCTAATGAATCTATGTCAAATATTTTTGGACTACATGTGCCACAAGTTGTAAACAAAAAGTCTTTTACTTATTTAAGGGCAAAAACTTTACAAATATTGAATAAATCTACAAGTGAACCCTAAGGTGAATAAGTACATATGCTGACGAACATTCTTGTAAACTTTCAGGCCAAAATAGGTCACATACTTTTTCAGCTATGCATGAACAAGTTGAAAATTGAAAAGTCCCAGATGCATTGCTTCAGTGATGTTGATCATTATTGCCGTTAAGTTGGTTGATTCTAACTCAAGCACTCAAAGAACAAATTACACAACATAATGAAACTGTTTTTTACTAAGTCAAGGGCAAAAACTTTACAAATACTGGATAAACCCACAAGCGAAACCCAATATGTAAAACCACACATGATGACCAACATTCCTGTTAAGTTTCATGACTCTAGGTTATATACTATTTCAGCTACGCACGACATAAATTGAAAATTGCAAATTCACTCTACGTCAAGGGCAATAACTCTGACAAAATTCATAAGCAAAACCCCAGGTGAACAACTTCACATGCTAATCAACATCCCCATAAAGTTTCATGACTATAGGTCAAATACTTTTTGAGCTACGTGTGGCACAAGTTGAAAATTGCAAATTTTTACTAAGTCAAGAACAATAACTCTGCAAATACTAAATAAATACACAAGAAAATATCCAGGTGCACAACTACGTACGCTGATCAATATTCCTGTTCAGTTTCATGACTCTAAGTCAAATATTTTTGAGCCACTTGTGACAGAAGTTGAAAACTGAAAATATTTACTAAGTCAAGGGCAATAACTGTGACAAAACAAAATAAATCCACAAGGGAAAACACCTAGGTGCACAACTTCACACGCTGAGCAAAATTCCTGTAAATTTTCATGACTCTAAGTCAAAACCTTTTTGAGATATGTGCGACACAAGATAAAAATTGCAAGTTTTTTCTAAATCAAGGGCAAAAACTCTAAAAATATTACATCCACACAAAAATACCCAGGTGCACAACAACACATGCTGATCAACATTCCTGTAAAGTTTCATAACTCTAAGTCAAATGCTTTTTAGAGCTACGTGTAAGACAAAAGAGAACGGACGGACGGACGGAAGGACGCACGTTCTAACGGACAGAAATAATGTGGCTACTCAATTGCTCTCCCTATTGTTCTATTTAGTAACACAAAAGAACATAGCCAGATCAAAGCATTGCAGAATGAATAACATCAAAGAGAAAGAACAATAAGCTATTATACCTCTAGCCACATTATTACTGTGCCGTGAGAGAGGACGGGTGGTCGAACGGTAAACTCAAAGTGCCCTCCGGGTTACCCGGTAGGGGAATATTAAAGGAAAAGGTCTTTATTCTGGATCATGTAACCACTGACATAATAATGGCCTTAATATTTAGCGGTATATTCCTATTTCCGGGTGGTCTTAAGTAGGAATTCTACAAGTTTTTGTCAAATAACCCAAGTGGCATGACTTTACATGTATAACTTTTGAATATGTTTATTTGTTATGTCCACTAGGTTATGCTTAATGTCAAATATCTAAGGTCTTGACATTGCTGTTTCACAAAAGAAGACTTAAATGTATAATCCTATACAAATTAAAAATCAAAGGGTTGCAAGCTCTGTGGTATTTTCTGATCTTTTCAATCTAAATGGTACCATATATATGTATGTATTTTTCTGTATTAAGTTATGTTGATATACATGTTCTTTAATTCATCTCGCAGGGCACTGAATTGCAGCGGCTGCGTTAAGGGCGAACTCAGGGGAAAGTTTTGCTGAACATATTTCCCTTCACCCTGCTTGATCGGAAAAGAACAGGACAGAACAAAGAATGTCTTTTATGTTCACCAATTTTTGAAAGCAAATTCAATACAATTTGGAAATATAATTAAATGTTTATATAACAGAGAATGTATAGTTCCGTTACAAAATAAAGTAAAATAATTTATTAGAGTACACTTCCCATTAAAAAAAAACTGAATAAGATAAACCAAATTACAAGAGTGTATAGTGTAAATAAGTGATCAGCGCAAAGAAACCAGTTTGATTTTCAGTATACACTATGTAGAATATTATATTATTATTTTCGAGGTATTTTGTTCACAGTTAACCTGATGTAAGTAATTAAGCAAAATTCTTCTAGCCCGTACATAATAGCTTACTACTTGACAGTCAGATTCAATGTAATACGCGCTGAAGTGTGGTCATATCGACATCGCTAAGAACAGCACTTTGTTTATGTCGATTAAATTATTGGTTGACCGTTTGTGGTAGAAATTCGACTGCCCTAAATTCGTCCATGTCCCAGAGTAAATAGCCTTACTTTTTTCAGAAAGTCTAAATAACAAGGCGTGAAATTCCGATCATAATGATCCAAAGCTTTACGGAAAGACACAAGAAATGTCCATTGATTAAAATGATATTCATCCGCGTAATCTGTCATTGTGGCTTAATGGCAAAAGCTACTTTGAAACTTTGAATTCGTAATAATTCGTTCGATACTTTGTAGCACAATAAAAAATGTTTCTTTCTTTTACGTCGTTTGTTTTAAGCTGTTTTGAGAACTTCTTTTATCTGTTATGCATGTCGGGAAGAGCTGTTCCAGATAGTGAATGATAGCACTGTATTTCCTGACATGCGATAAGAAAATACAAAAACCAAGTAACCCCAAGGGCAAGCCAATTTTGACCTTTTGGGCATGTTTGAAACAACTTTTGAAAAAGACCGCCAGTCGATACTACTAGCAAAATATCACAGCACAATTTAATCATACAAATCTTTGTCAAATAACTGGCCCCCTGGGCGGGCCATTCTTGACTTGAGAGGTATGATTTATAATTTGAGTAGAGGACCATAAGGCGATGCTTCATGCATAATATCTAAGCTCGTTCTTGCCATTTAAAATTAAGTGAAGAATATTTTTCCTATACACATATTTGTTAAATATATAATGATCACTAGCGGTGGGCCAATTTTACCACAGAACATTATTTTTCATAAATTAAGTAGAAGACCACAAGGTGATGGTACATGCAAAATATTTAAGTTCTAGGCATTTCAGTTTCTGAGAAGAGATCCTTTTAGTTATTTCACTAATACAAGCCTATATATTAAATTAAGTTACCCTCAGGGTACAGCAAATTTTGATATTAGCGGCATGATTTATATAACTTTTGTAGTGGTCTGTTTGACAGTGCTACGTACCCAATATCTAAGCATTAGGTATAACAGTTTCATATAAGTGGACTTAATTCACCTTTGTCATACGCCTTCAGCCTCGTAAGTATATATAGCATTTTATCCTCACACATATTCTTTAAAAACACGTAAAATACCGGACTTAAGTCACGAACAGCGGCTATAATGCAAACTGATCAAAGTTATTCGAAAGCTCACAGAGAGCAACTTTGGCTTTTCTTGCTACTTATAATTTGTTCTCGTTTTCAAGTTTTTCTACATGTTTTTAACAGCTGTGCCGTGTGACAGTTTATATTGTCTATTGATATTCTTTTGAATATCTTTTTGCCGTGTTACGGCTTTATTTCTTTGAATAATGAATCATGGAATCATGTAACAGTACAGAAAGTGCCATACAAAGAACCATAACTCTGCATTGCATTATTTTGGAGTTATTGCCCTTTTTCATTTTTCTAATGTGTCAAAAACATACTCGGGGAGCATCACCCGGTTCAACCGGTTCTTGTTTCTGTGGTGCTGAAACCGACTGCAGAATATGCAGAAATAAATTCAACGCAGAAAGAAAAAACACTTATACGGTAATATATACTATAAAACAGCCCTGCATAATGATTCCTGCATAAAAATGCATTTAAGATCAACTTAAAAGGCCTTAATACTTTAGGGAGATGTGGAGAAAAATTACAATGACTTATGAAAAGATACTTACTTTTTAAAGTCAAATCATTCCTTTTGACTTAAAGATGAAATTGACTTATGGCAGCTAGTGTACGGTATACAGGTTGATGGCCAAATGGGGCCTATGGGTTGTCAAGTTATTAATCTGAAATCGTTTTTACGTACAAGGTCAAATGACATTGACAATTGACCCCTTGACCCCAAAATCAATTAGGGTCAACTACTTGCCAAGACTAATGCACCTACGAAGTTTTAGGGCCAACCGCCCATAGGTTGTCAAGTTATTGATCGGAAACTGTTTTTAACTACAATGTTAATGTGACCTTGACTTTTGACGCTTGACCTCAAAATCATTAGAGGTCATTTATTGGTCATGAACAACTCAATACCAAAGTTAGGCCGAGGCCTTCTTTAGTTATTGCTCAGAAATCATTTGGTTTATGGGCCGACCGACAGACAAATGCAAACCAATTTACTCCAATTTCTTGGAAGGGGCGTAATAATTGTTCCTAGTAAAACTTCACAGGCAGGCAACCTGTCTTGGTCCTTAACAAGTAGCTATGTCCCATCCTTTCACCGCCCTTGTGTCCACTCCAGGTTTTGGTTTGGTGCCTTCTGGGTGCCCGACTTTGGTGTGTCGGGGGCTGCGTCCTGTGAACGTTGCCATTGCCTTGTTGATCTTTATTCTTGTATTTTATGTTAAGCCCTATACTAGTTGCTTATGTGAAGCTGGTTTAAAAATATTATAAAGTTGACAAGTGTAAAGTTTTGACTCTTAAATTGTCAATCATACACCTAATCTCTTAACATTAAAGAATTGTTGACAAAACCATTATTTGCCAAGTTTGATGGCAATTTCAACATATTTGTTGCCCTATTGTACACCTATTTATATTTTCTGGACAACTAATAAGTAACTAGAAGGGGGTTTTGTCTCAAAAATTTATGTCTCCTAAACAATGTATGGTACTGATCACTCCAGTAAATTTTGGTTTGACCTTCTGAAAGCATGAAACGATTTTTCTATTTATAGCTATCACGTCCACTTTGTAAAGCAATATGCAAAACTACAGATGGTATTGATCATTTCTGTGAAGCTTTATTGAAATCCTGACTGCAGTTTAACATGTGAAAGCCGGACAACATTTTTCTATTGAATTTTCTGGCGGCAATTTTGTGCAGCGGATTGGAACGCGCCAGCCATATTTACAACTAGTGACGGTTCTGATCACTTCTGTGAAGTTTGATTAAAATTCAACATGCATTTTAACTAGTTAAAACCGGAAAACATTTTCTATTTATAGCTATGTCGTCCATTTAGAGATAGAACTGATCACTTCTGTGAAGTTTGATTAAAATTCCATATGCATTTTAACTAGTTAAAGCCGGAACACATTTTCTATTTATAGCTATGTCGTCCATTTAGAGATAGAACTGATCATTCTTGTGAAGTTTTTTTGAAATTTTATGAGCAGTTTGACCTGTCAATGCCGGAGAAATTTATTTTTTTTTTTACTCCGGTGGCCATTTTGTGCAGCCAAGAGGAATGTGTGAGTAATATGCACAACAAGGGATGGAACTGATCATAAATGTGAAGTTCCATTTAAATCCCGTCAACAGTTTGACCTGAGAAAGACGGACAACATTTTTCTATTCAAAGCTGGGGCGGCCATTTTATGCCATGAAGCAAAACATGCCGGCCATATGCACATCTAACTGATCAGTACTGTGAAGTTTTATTGATATCTCGCATGCAGTTTAACCTGTGAAAAAGGGACAAGATATTTCTTTTTATAGCTATGACGGGCATTTTGTGCAGCGGAGCGGAATTTGACGGCGATATGTACAACAAAGATTGCTACTGATCACTTCACTTCTGTGAACTTTCATTGAAATACAACAAGCAGTTTGACATTTGAAAGAAGAACAATATTTTTCTATTGAAAGATAGCTCTGGCAGTCATTTTGTGCAGCTAAGCAGAAACATTAGACGATATGCACAATTAGGGATAATACTGATCATTACTGTGAAGTTTCATTGAAATCCCGCCAACAGTTTGACCTTTGAATGCCGGACAACATTTTTTATTTATAGCTTCGGTGGCCATTTTATGCAGCTGAACGGAATGTGCCGGTGATATGCACATGTAGGAATGGTACTGATCACTTCTGTGAAGTTTCATTGAAATAGACATCTGAACGCCGAACAAGATGTTTCTATTTAAAGCTCTGGAGGCCATAATGTACAGCAAATTGGAACGTATGGGTGATATAAACAACAAGGATGGTACTGATCACTCCTGTGAAGTTTCATTGAAATCCTGCCAGCAGTTTAGCCTGTGCAAGCCGGGCCAGATTTTTCTACTTCTGGCTATGTAGCCATTTTGTGCAGCCAAGCGAAATATGGAGGTTACATGCACAACTACGGATAGTATTGATCACTCCTGAAAAGTTTCATTGTAATCTGGCCAGCAGTTTGACATGTGAAAGTCGGCCAAGCTGAGTGCGGACGGACAGACAGACGAACGTACAGATAGATGGCAAAGGGCAAAATCAATATGTCTGCCAAAAATTTTGGAGACATATTTACTTATTCCTCAGAAAGTCTGTGTCTTCTAATATCACATGAATTCTTAGATCTGAGTTTAGGTGTCATCGAAAAATATTTCCCTAGGATAGAACCAATAAATCTTATTTTTTCATTTTTTCATTATCTTTCACGTACAGATTCAATCAAACCGAATCTGCAGTTTTCATGTTATTTTTTTGAAATAAATACATGAAAAGGATTACATTTTATTGAGATTTCTTTGCACAAATCCAGTGATCTCCTTAATGAACTTGACAGATCTCTGTAGATGAAGACCACATAAGGTGGACAGCATATAATCCATAAGAAAACTCACAGGTACAAAATATAGTTAACTTCCAGGATAAAGTTGTACATCTAACTTATGACCACAGCTACATTAATTTTGTGAAGTTTGAAATCCAATACCTTTGTCTGTTGTATAAGAAGTATTACATTTGAAAAATAACTAGTTATCACCAAATTTCTGAATGGTATAAATGTCGTGAAAATAAAGGATACAGATATGGAAATTGTTCTTAAACTAAAAACTCTAAGACGGGCATATAGTCTCCGGGGAAATCCTTGTATGAGGTCTCGTGCAGAATGTTTATAAAGTGTGAGCATAGTATATCTTTAACAAAGTCCTAAGTCAACAAAATACCAGGTTGAGCATAACAGGTTTGTTTATCTTCAATAATAACCAAGCTTAAATCTGCATGAATTATAAACTGAATACCTACCCTTCTAATTGTTCTTGCCGAAAGTCCATCACTTAAAGGTACTTTCTTGACAACAACATGTATCCCAAAGTCCTTTGATTTAGATTCACCTGAAGTTTCAAAATAAGAGGTTAAAAAGAAATACAACAGGTGTTTATGTTATGGATTTGCCTGAAGTTATATTTCAAAATAAGAGGTTAATTATGAAATACAACATGTGTTTGTGTAATGTATTTGCCCTGCATTGAAATGCAAAATACAAAAAATATTACATGATTTCAATATCAAAATACAGAAATTGTGCTATAAACACTTAACAGGACAGCGAAAATTAAACATTTCTGGATCAAGCATTTTATTAAACTAGGGTACATGAGTAGGGCATAACATATTTTTCATTCAAGGACAATGACTCAGCTGAAGATCATTCAAGCAAAACACTTGTTTATTATGCATAAGTACTTGACTTACCAATCAATCCTGTAAAATTTCATTGACTTTGCATGTATGGTATACGAGGAATAGTCCTGACAATCTTTATTAACACCCCTTTCATTTAAAGGCCATAACGGGAAAAAACATCTTTCAAGCAGAAAACCCTTGTAATATGTGCAAGTACTTGACCTACTAGACAATCCTGTAAAGTTTCAATGAAATTGCTTTAGTGGTAGAGGAAAATAGTCTGGACAAACTTACAAAAAAACAATTTAAGGGCCATAACTCCAACAAAATTCATTAAACAATAAAAGCCCATGATATGCACAACTAAATTTGGTACTGATCATTCCTGTAAAGTGTGGATGAAATTGCACCAGAAGTTTTTGAGACGTAGTCTAGACAAGCTTTTGTGTATCTGGCAATACACAAAGTAGAGAACAAACACCAATCTTTCAATTCAATTCATTAAAAGGGCCACAACTCAACAAAAATCATTCAACCAATAAAATCATTGCAATATGCGCAAGGACTTGAGCTACAGATAAATGCTGTAAATATTCATTGAAATTGCATAAGTGATATAAGAGAAGTAGTCCGGACAAACTTTGAAAATAAAAATATCAAAGGGTCATACCTAAGACAAAAATCATTGAACCAAAAATGCTGAAAATATGCACAACTAAACTTGGTACAGACCACTCCTGTAAAGTTTGGATGAAATTGCACCAGTAGTTTATGAGGAGTCGTCCGGACAAGTAAGAGGCGACACAAAAATTAAATATGGCCATTTATCGTTAGGTTCTACAAATTCTTATCAAAAGTGTAGTTGATATATGTGGATACTGTTGGTCTTCTCATACTAGACAAGGTCTTACGTAGCACTAACACAGTTTAAGTCATATTGTGACTTTCTAACTTTACTGGTGGAGTAAGCCCGAGGTGGAGAATCACCAACGTCAGTAAGCTAGCTAGATAGCTTCTCACATAAAAGAATTCGAAGTCCCTGTCCGCATTCAAACCCACAGAAATGAGTGGTTTAAAGTAAGCGACTCCCCTCATAAATACATAGAAACCTGGATAAAAACTTTACAAACATAAACTTAATGAAACATATTGCCCTACACGTTCAAATAATTTTATTCTAAAGATATACAATTATGTACTTTTGTCTTGTCTTGAGATAGGTAAGAAACCAAGGTAATCGTCTTATATATCAGTGCTTTACACTGGGAATGTAAAAGACCAAAGGGGTCTCTATTCAATAAGAGCTAGGGACTGTTTTTCAGATTCCCTTGTATTTCATTGATGTCTCTGGAGTTGGCTGAGGTAAGGACCCTATTAGAAAAACGTTTTGAAGGTTATCCTTGACTGCCTATTCAAATTAAATTTATTCATTCATTGTCATACCTTTCATTGTACATGTATTTGTTTTGTGCAAAATATAAATTTACTTTCAATATTATAAAGGCATTATGTTGTTGCATATTTTTTTTATGTCATTCATATCTAAATTGTTTATGATTATAAAAACGTAAATTTTATGAGGCCTACGGGGTAGATAACATTTGTTGCAAGTGTGTCGCTTTTTTAAATGAAAACCATATCATTATCATTGCTTTTGCTATATTCTAATATTTTTTTCGCTAGAATATCAACATAACCAGGTCTCCTTGACGCAAGCACAATTAACTACTACCTGTATATTAACATATAATGATCAGTTTAACAACAAAACAAAATACATGTTATATTGTATCTAGTTCTTTATGCATTAGATAAACAAGCCTTTCCAATGATGTTGATAATTTTTATACTTACTTTTATATACTTTTCCAAATGAACCCTTGCCGATTTCTTCTATATTTTCTCTTCTTAAATTCTCTATTATATCCTGTGTAAGATCAAGTAAGCGACCATCATACAAACAAGCATTTTTAAAGGACCTTTGACCCCCATCAAAACTTGACCGGTCCCTAGATACAGGTGATTGACCCGTATCCACACTTGACAAACCAACATCCATTCTTATATGTCCCCCATCCACACTTGATTGACCACCATCCATTCCTAAATGACTATCATCAACACTTGATTGGAATCCTTCAACCCTTCCATGATTTTCATGAGTAATTTCTGGTACACCTTGCTTATGCAGCTGTATACCATAAGCAAATTGTCCCTTACTGTTCCGGCACTCTTGTACACCTTTCATTGGCTCAAAATGCTGAATTCCTTTAAAGTTATCTTCATTATAATCAGACATCTCAACATCCATTGTCTCTCCTGAAGGACATTTAAATTCTAATGTAAGTATACTTTATTGTACTCAATACATAAATAATAAAATAATCATCAGTAAAATACAGTTTATATCTTTAATTTTCTGGATTTGTCCATCAAAGTAGCACTAGATGAACAAGAGGGCGATGATGGCGCTGAAACGCTCACCTGAAACAACTGTTTTTCAGTGATTATAGAAATAATTTTTCAAATAAACTTGTAGAAAGACAAGTCAAGCTCAAACTCAACTTGCCTCTCTAGATATAAAGTTTCCCGACGCTGATAAGTTTGGTGATCATCCATCTATTAATTTGTGATAACACTTGCCTGAGACTGTCTTTTGAAATTGTGATATTTATTTTTTTACTTATCTTAAAAATAATATAATTACATACTTTAAGCTTATAGATATACATGTAGACTGTTTGTCAGGATGACATCATCAGTCAAAATTTATTTAAGATATCATAGCTATACTAGTCGACTCGACCAGAAAGTTAATGTTTCAGTCTGAACTTAATTTTACTCTCTAATAGAAGGAGGAAAAATTGTAACAACTTTAACTACATAGAAGAAAAAAGCAAAAAGTAGTTTTGATGAAATATATTCACTAAACAAGAAATCTCTTTTAATAAAACAACTTTACATACAGGATGGAAAAGTGATGTTGTATGAAACAGTGCAAAATTACTTTGAACAAGTGATAACCAAGTTTGCAAAATGTGATTTTGAATATAAATAATTGAAACTAATACTAAAATAGCACAAAGAAAAAAAATTACAAATAACATAAAGACAAGCAAGAAAAACTACTCAAGTTGACATGACTTCAATTAAACCTAACTTTTGTTCCTTTATGTAAAATGCTTAAATACAAGATCGCCCTAGATCGCTCACCTGACCCATCGAACTCATCCGAAACTATTACCTAGACAAGCATCCTGACCAAGTTTCATGACAGGTGTGTCATAAATGTGACCACTAGAGTGTTAACAAGGATTTGTCATTTTTAAGCAGTGTGACCTAGTTTTTGACCCCAGGTAACCAATATTCAAACTTGACCTACGAATCATCAAAACAAACATTCAGACAAATTTCCAAGATATTGGTACAAAACAGTAGCCACTAGAGTGTTAACAAGATTTTTCTATTTTTAACTCCTGTGACCTAGTTTTCAATCCTGACCAAGTGTCATGAAAATTGAGGCAAACTGTGACCGCTGGAGTGTAAACTAACACATGTGGACGGACGACAGACATTAATCGATCCTAACAGCTCACCCTGAGCTAGCTCAAAATTGAGCATGTAAGTAAGGTACAGGAAACAAATGTGTTTTTATTAGGCCTAATTTCATTTCCTAGTGAAAATTCTCTACACTGACCTACAAATGACCCTGCAGAAAGATTAATAGAATGATGTCATATGGTGTCCAAATTCTAGAGCTGAAAGATATTAACAGAATTATAAGATTAACTTATTTTCATCATTGCATTTGTGAAAACAAAATAGTTCCAGAAATAAATTTGATACTGCACAATTGAACTTTGTTCTTGTGCAGTAGTGTTCAGTGAGGTCCTTTTTAGCATGTCAAATAAAAGACAATGTGCAATGTAAACTGTTCAGATACAAAGCACGTGACATCAAATCATTTCTTAAAGATCTCTGAAAAGCAAACAGGCCATGACTTTAAGACTTATATTTTTAGAAACATTACATAACATGTACATATGTATTGAAGACAATTCAACAGGAGTTGTTTCCCTTTCATTTTTATACTATAATTTGAAGAAATGCAATGGCCTGGGGCATTTGAGCTTTAGCAGCCCCTGGAAGAGGCCAATCAAATTAGTATGAGCAAACTTGATAAAGGACTACTTAAGAATGCTACAGGCAAAGTTTTGTGGTCAGATATCAATTAGTCCTGTAGAAGGAGACATAAACTGCCTTTTCTATTTTAGCTTAAGCGGCCCCTTAAAGGTTTCAATCAAATTAATTTGAACAAATTTGATAGCAGACATTCTAAAAATGCTAGAGATAAAGGTTGGTGATGATCCGTCAATAACTTCAGTGTAAAAATGTTTTTAAAGTTTTCTATTTTTAGCTATAGCCACCCCAAAAAGGGGCCAATCAAGTTAATATGAACAAACTTGAAACAAGAGGGCCATGATGGCTCTATATCGCTCAGCTTGAGGAACTTAAAAGTATTTTTAAAAATAAGCACCAGATTCATAAAATTCTTGAATTTCAGTTAAAGGTTCGTGTCAAATGTAAATTATTTTTTGTCAACAGCAAGACTTAGTCGGTAAACAGAAAGTGGATAAGCGACAGACCTGAAATTGAATCCCATGATATGGGACCACGTGTTAATGTTGTATACTAAAGGCTGTAACGAGTATGTAGGTAGGTAGGTAGGTAACGACTTTATTTAACGAGGCTAAAACATTCAGTTTCCAGATCTTCCATGCGACAAAACAACATAAATTTTAAAATAAATCACAATCAACATTATGACAACATATATGTACATTAAACATAAACATATCTAACAATAAATAAATCAACAATTCTTTTTCTTCTTACATAGAGAAGTGACATTTTAATAACTTCAGGATGGAAAGTACCAACAAAGTAGATCAATGTTGAAGAATAAAACATTTATAGGACTGTTCTATTAACAGATTTTATTATACTTTTTATATTATAGATTGAATTAATGTTTTTGTAAACAGTATGTACAAATAATTAGTTAGAAAATTGCCACTGGATGTAGGAGCTTATAATTTCTTCAGGGTATCAGACTTTCGAATATGTATTGGTATGTTGTTCAATATCACAGGACCTGAGTAAAAAAATGATTTTCTAAAAAAATCTGTTATTTGCTTAGGAACAGTTAGTTTTTCGTTTAGATCTTAAGTTAAAGATGTGTTGGTCATTTACTGTTTGGAATTTATTTTTCAAATAAATAAGAAAGGTTGGTTCATTTATAGATTTTTATACATAAGATTGCCTTTTATACACAATTCTTTGGTCAAAGGACATCCAATTTAATTCTTTAAATAGAACATTTGATGGGGTATCAAAACTTTTGCCTAAAATTATTTTTGCAGCTCTTTTTGCAGCTTTTTTTGAAAGTTGACAATTTGTGAAAGTAAATCACTACTGCAGTATCCCCAAATTGTGCAACAGTAGTCAATATGTGGCAGAATAAAGCATTAAAAAGAGTTAAAAAGGTACTGTTTGATTTTAAGAAGCAAATATAGCTTTGGATTGCATTTTTATAGTAGTTCCTTGAATTTGTGTCTCCAATTTAGGATACTTGACAACATGGACTCCTAGCAATGTTTGAGTGTCTGTCTCTTTGTTGTGAAGGTGCAGAGTTGATGAAGCAGTATTTTTTTATTTAGATTTGTTATAGAGAAATTTATGGCCTTAGTTTTTTGTACATTGAATATCATTGCCTTTTGCCTACATCATGTGCTCAAACTATCAAGATCTGTCCGAAGATTATCATTCATTCATTTAAAGTACTTCCAGTAGATGTAAGGGAAGTGTCATATCCAAACATTAGTAGTTGACTGTTTAACATGAAGGTGGATGTAATAAATGTATAGCAAAAATAGTAGGGGCCCAAGGACTGATGCACTTATGACATGACTAAAGCTTGTACAGATAAAACACCAGACACATATCCTTTTTTTGACCTGTCTGATTGATAAGATCTTATCCAATTTATAGCCTGTGAAGATTCATTTTAGAAACGTAGTTTTTCTAGAAAAAATTGGTGGTTAACTTAATCAAAGGCTTTTGATAAGTCTAGAAAAACAATTCCGACAAGTTTGCCGTATTCAGAGCACTGATCCAATTATCAATTATATTTTTAAGAGCTGTCTTACATGATAAGTGGTCTGATACATGTTTTTCATTTATTTAAGAGATAACGGGAAGTATTGAAATTGGTGTATACTTATTTCTGTCTGCTTATCTACATTGCTTAAACATCTCAGGAGGGACTGCAAGTAGATTGGTCAGTTTAGGTAGGAAGTCACATTTATTGCTTTTTGTCTCTAAATGGGTGGATATGTGTATATCCATGGTGATAGGTTTCAGGCAACATGTGGATGATGAAAGTGCGAAAGCCACAAGGAATGGTCCATCTCTTGTGAAGCTGATTAAGTGGTGTTCTGTATGATCGGCCAGTTTGACGAAACTTTCCTTGTGTTTGCCTTGGGTTGATTTGTCTAATTGTAGCTTTTATTTCTTTTGCAAATATTGTAGCTTCATGGTTATTAAGATGAACTCCATTGACGTAAAGTGATTTATTTGTCTGTTTTTGATTTTTTATAAATGAATTTGTGTTATCAATAAAATTTATTCACTTTTCATAACAACGTGTTCTCAAGAGTTCATTGGTATTTGTGATCCTTTCTATGTAAGTTTCATCTGTTTTCATAGGAAGTTTAGAAGAAACTATTATTTTAATGCGCGGATGGATTTGCCTTAAAAGTTCTGTTAGTTCAAGCAGTCGTTGCTTGACCTCCTCTGGTCGGTCACCATGCAGTATGTTGTTGATGCCTGCATGAATGACAAACACATCTGTGTTCTGAATATGTGGCTGGTTGGTAATTTAGGATGACATCTTACTGAAGATATCTTTACGATTGGCTGCTCCTTGAGACTTTATTTTAACATGTGTTTTGTCAATTGACATTTTATCTGTTCGCAACACGTTCGTGACAGAGTCACTTAAAATAAAAACTGAGTATTTTGAGGTGTGTAGCTTGTTTTTCTGGTCTTTTTCTCGGGGTTTTTAAAAATCAACATTTTTTACAGTACTGTCGAGTTGTTCTCTGTCCTCATAATTCGAGGTGATTTTTTGTCAGTCTGTGTCTTAATTTCCGACATTAGCAGTGTAATGTCATGTAATGTTGCAGCTTTCTTTTGTTTATATATCAAGATACAAACATTTTCTTTGATAGCAGTCAAATCATCCGTGATTTTCTTTA